GTTTAATGAGTGGAGAAACTCAAGGGGCTGCCGCAATTGTTCCTGAGACGACGATTCAGGGAACCTCGCTGCGCACCGGAGCTCAGCAACGTATTAATGATGACATCACCTATGCTAATGACTGTTCAGCAGCGGAAAAGGCTGGAATTTACACAGTAATACTAATAGTACACTGATTGATTGTAAAAGTACATTGACTGTACATTGATTGATAAAAGGTTGCCTTCTCTGATGAATAACGTTTTATGCTTTACCGGATGGATGGACGTCAGCGCATACGGCGAGAAACATCAGAGAACAAAGACACGTCTGTGGATGAATGCTAGCTGGCGGATACGTGGTTGTGGTCTGAGAAATGCTTTCATAGAGTTTTCTGGGTCCATTCATCATTGTGGATGACACTATCGATTGCAATAACTAGAATGGTGGTATCTTCCAGCATGGCAATGCAAAGTTCCTTACAGCTAGAAAATGCATGGGCATGGTTGGAAGAGTTCGAGGAAGATGTTACTGTGGTGCTCTGGTGTCCAAATTCTTCGGACTTAAACATAATGAAAAATCTAAGGGACTCTCTCGATCGGATTATGCTCCCTGTAGGCAGCCTTTGCCACTCATCCTTCAACAGCTGCCAGTTGTTTAGAGTCAGCATGATTCTGAATACCTGGGAACGATTTTCAGAATCTTACTGAGTCCTATGCAGACCATTTAGCCGTTGCCCACTGTACATGGTGGTTATTTTGGACATTGACAAATAGTTACATTATAAGGTATTTCTCCCGCTTTCCTAGCGTGCCTTCGTGGTGTAATGGTCAGCACACTGAGCCGGTATTTCAGATGTCCGTGGTTCGATTCCCGGCGAAGGCTTTGCTAATTTTTCATCGAAATAATCTGTTGTCTCTACAGTGGCGCCTGAACAAAAAGGGTGTTCGATGATGATTCTCCTCACCCAGGATTTGGCGACTGGGTCCCCTAAAAACCCCAGTCGCCCCTTAAAAGTGGAAGTATATAAGGTATTTCTCCCGCCTTCCTGGTGTAGTGGTTCTGCACGCTGGGCCGGTATTCCAGAGATCCGTGGTTCGATTCCCGGCGAAGGCGATTGGTCATTTTTCATCTTCTCTGCTTCCAAAAAATCCTAATGCCTCTACAGTGGCGCCCGAACTAAAAGGTATATCTCCCGTTTTCCTAGCGTGCCTTCGTGGTGTAGCGGTCAGGACACTGAGCCTGTATTTCAGAGGTCTGTGGTTCGATTGCCGGCGAAGGCTTTGCTAATTTTTCATCTGTCCGGCCTCGAAATAACGTAATGTATCTTCAACATTAATGTAATTCGACTGTGTAATTGTGTATATGTATGTGGATCGTAATGAGCTGCAACTAGACTCGTCTGAAGAAATAAGACAATTTGCAAATTATATCTATTTTCATATTTTTATAAAAAGTATTGCACTAAAGGTATTAATTCTGCCGCCGAAGAAATATGCAAATACTAAAGTAGAATAAGTAAGTGCACACATGCTTATCTGCAAATCTGTGATAGTGGAGGAGATTTCGCACAAGAGGTTTTCGATGATTTGTGTGAAACACGACTTTCGTGGTGTTTCTCGCAAGAGGTCGGTAAATTTTATTAAGTATCAGGTAAAATACGTAGCTACGAACGTTTGAATGACGGAATGAAATGGAGAACTGTCAGTATATTGCAGGCAAGGCTATCAGAAGCGCGGGTGGGTACAAAGCTCAGTTTAACGCCACTTGTCGTCTTCAGTTTGTGGAAATAGTTTTAGGACACTGCATCCATATAGAGAAGACCTAGAAAGTGTCGAATCCAAATGACGAATAAGGATCGTTATTTGGCTCTTTCAGCGCGACGACTAGGCTGCAGCAGCTTCACAAGACAGCTGTATGCTCACGAGATACCAGATCTCATGATCCCATGATCATGTATGATCACTGGAGCCCAAGTTTCACGGTCAACAGTTGCCCGAAGTTTTCATGCGATAGGGATGTATACCAGATGACCCGTTGTTTACGTCCCGCTCTCTGCAGCATACAGGAAAGGGAGTTTAGCAAGGTGCAGACAACATGATCAGACTTTAGTGGAGCTCCGTGCTTTTTCAGATAAGGCGAGATACAGCTTGGACGCTAAGTCTTGGCTTTTTAATTCTATTCAAATATTTATGTACTTGGAGAGAGCCTGAAACACGATACCATACCTCTCTCAATAGGGAAAAAAATCATTGCGACGGTTGGGGGTGTAATGGTTTGAGCGGGCATTACGTTGGACGACCGCACACCCCTGCATGTATTTGACAAAGGTTTCCTGATTGCTATGAGGCATAGGCAGGAGATCTTAGAGCCCTATACAGCGCAGTTGGCCTTGAGGTTAATGCACAACAACGCTCGGCCAAATAAGGCTCAGCTGATTGAAGGTTACCTGAAAAGTGAGAATATTCGCTACATGAACTGGCCAGGCAGATTTCCTAACCTCAATCGTTTGTGACGCTCTCGGGAGTGCAATTTCATCTCGCACGAGAATGAAACTTATATTTGGTTTTCGAAATATGAGTAAAAATGTCACAAATAGTTTAAAGTTGTTTTTTAAATTCTTAACTGCCAGTATTTTAAAATTTCATTCCCTATTCATCATTCCTTTCTTTTTAAAAATTAATTTATTTGCCGTTCTTTGATCAGAGGGTTTGAGGTTTGAGGTCACTACCATTATAAGAAAGTTAAATTATTGAAATGAAAATGGACAGTATGATATAAGCGCTTATAATAATGATATAATTTTCACATAAAATCCAAGGAACATAAGTTTCAAAGAACATAAAATTTCTATGAAAATTATTTTTTTTTGTAATAGAAAATGATCATCTCCGAAATGTAATTTAGAGCGAAAGTAACAGCTAAATTGAATTTAAAATTATAAAAAAGTGGCATAGATTATAGACTCTAAAATTAATTTTTCTCATAGAAAATGTAAGGGAAAGTCATGAAAAGTATGAAGGAAGTACGCATATATGAGAGTCCAAATGATCCAATAAAATCAAAGATAATTTGTACTGAAATATAAAGGAACTTAAATTGCTTAAAATGGCATTTCGGAGTGGAATTTTCTGGGGACGAAATTTGCTTGCTTTCAGACAAAATTTGCTTGCCTTTAATTCTTACAGTTTTTATTGCTGAATCAAAAATGCTGATGTATTTTGATAAAAAAAATTGTTTTAACGATAGAAGAAGTTTAAATGTGTCTTTTAAATAAATATGCATCAATGCAAGAGTTAAAAAAAAATTCGCAAAAAATAGAATATCTGAACACGAAAGTGACCGATGTCTTTTACTTTCTTAAACACTAGGAAGAGCTACGTATACATGAATAATTCACTTACTTACCATTAAATTTCCACTTCTATCTTTTTTGGAGGGGATATATACAAATATTTATTGAACTATTTAACTTTTTTTTTTGCAAATATATTACGCAAATAGTTAAAAATGTAATGGCGTGTTCTTTTGCTAAAACATTTTCATTTCTTTAATTCGTATATGTTTCTAAATTTTAACTTTCGGCAAATTGTAGCCTTTGGCATTAAATTTAAATGAAACGTTTCAATATAGTTTGAGATATAAAAGGAAAAGGCAGGCCTCATAAAAGGCAAATGTTCAGTGTAATTGCTTTTGATAAAAAAAATCTCTCATCCATAGCTATCCTTCCGCAGTTCCAATCCATAAATTCTTGATGATTGCAAGTATTGAAACTTTTGATCATTTCTTCTTAATTATTGGCAGTAATTAATAGCATCAATGATGCTATTGCAATAAAATATTGTAAGCCCACTTCCATCTTTAACATTTTTATATTAAATATGTAAACCGCATTATACTCTGAAGACATTAACACTTCTTAGTTAACAATTGTGTACATCGCTTAATAATTTAGGCAAGTTATTTAAGCGGGCTCATTTCATAATAATTTCAATATTTTCTTCTGCTTTTAAAAGTAAAAACCGCTACTGATTCTTTAACAAGATAGGACGGGCTAAAAATATATATTTGTATGCGGTGTTGAAACAATTTAGTTTCAAACAAATCCATTATTTTAGTTCCTTACTTTTATTTACCACTTTCCCTCCAATATTTTCTTATACACAGTGCGCATAAATGTTTCCCCCCCCCCCTTTTTTTTTTTTTTTTTTTTTTCTGTCTTCAAAATTACATCTGCATTATCTTGCATATCCTTATCGAGCGTTTTCTTCCTCTTTTTTTTCAAAATAACAAAATTGTCTATCCAATAATTTTCTTCAAATTATTAACAAAGCAAGATTAAGAAGAGCTGCGACCTTTTTATCATCATTTAATCGATTGCTGAGTAACAAGTTAAATTTTCTTACTTACACATGTTTGCTTAAAAATTAAGTACTATAGCCATCTCTTCTCGCGATAAACGTTTTCTTTATTCGGTAGTTTAATGCCTTTTCTCGTTTGCTATTCGCGACATGGTACTTTTCCTCTCTGCATTTTTAAAAATTATTTTTCAATTACTGTAAGAGATGTTTTTCAATTAGTAGCGAAATTTTTAAAACACGCATTCATTGATATTTCCTAGTTGTTAAATGACCTTTCTTACGAGCTCTAGTCTTTACGTGTGACTGTTTTGAATAACATTTTTCCAAAATGATCAGAGTTTTTAAAGAATGAGTTTCTAAGAAATTAGCACCTTATTCCATAAGATGATTTTATTTTCCAGAGGTTAGAATAATGATAGGGATGAATTTAATCTATATTTCTTCTCCTTATTAGATGGATCCCAGTCAAAAACAAAATTCACCGTTGCTTTCTTTATATCATATTTCTATTAACCATTTCAGTAATGGTAGAATTTACTTATTTAGACGTGGTTTAGTTTTTTTCTAGATGAGGTTTTACTTTAGATCTTTTACCGTTACTTTTGGTTTTCTCTTGCTGTACTACATTACATGCATCTGCCTAGTTTTTGATTCACATACCTCTAAATCTCGACCTGAAAATTCTTCTATTTCCTCGTTCATACATTCTTCAATATCTTGATTCGAACATCCAGTTATACCTTGTTTCATATTCTTTTTCTGATAATAAAATTATTCATAATGGTTAGAAGTTTTGTATTTATTTATAATTAACATAATTCTGAGAAAAATCTCTTTGATGCCATTTAAATTGATGAGCTCTCCATCCGCCTGATTAGTATAATTAATAACGGTATAAATGTAGCCCAGCACTTTAAGCAAATTACAATTTTTTTGAATTTGTTGACATTGAATTTCGAAGAAAAGCTGCTTGTGTTATTTCAAAAATCTCGATCATCTTTACTTCTTTCCTTCAGTTTGTAGATCAGAAAATTCTTATTTTCATTGATGCTTCGAGAAATAGCAACTAATTTTGGTTAAATAAATACTACAAGAAGTTTTAGAGTTATCTGTCTAGGGGAATACTTTCCTGAAATATTTCTGGGGGAAAATGACTTACGTTTACGTTGTGAGGAAAACATCGAAATCTCACTTGCTTTACCTTTTTTACGAGTTTATAAGTTTCAGGTTAAAGCACATTCTGTAAAATTTGAGAACATCTGATGTAAAATATCTTTTATGATAAAAGCAAACGCTCTAAAAATAGGAAGGGAAGAAGGGAAAAGTACGAATTAAAGGATGGAATTATATTTTACTAAATTGAAAACTTTATATTATCTAAAATCATACACTCTTATTGCTTATTTGTAATTTAAAGCATCATACACTTGCATTTCTCTTTCGATTGTGTTTGCTTTTCCTTTTGCATTCTTAGGTTATTTGAATACGGCAGAGCACACCAGGGCTATCTAAGTATGTGAATCGACGCCTTCGTGGAGGACTTTTTAAGAGGAAATGGCTCATATGGGGAAAAACCACGAAAGCATGAAGCCAGCCCGTTCGCCTCGAATTGAGCCCATGTCGAACTTACAGCATTCAGCAGTTTTAACCACTCCGGCCACTAGTGGGGCTCCCATTTTACTCGTAAGCCATATAATATATTACCAAAACAAGTAGTTAATAGTATGTTATTTTTGTTGTTAGCAAGAAGTTATCAGTTTCTTCGTCTTCGAATTTGTTCTGCTGCTGGAAATGAAAGTCGTATATTTTAGAGCTTTAGAATTTCCCAAGTGGAAATGAATTAAAGATAACATATGTTACTCGAGAATTTTAGATGTGTAAAATATTTCGAATACTTATTTTTCGTATGGTTAAAAGATACGTCATTTTATTGGCGTTCTTAAAGAATAATAATTAAAAAAAAATATGCATATATTTTTTTCCATTTCCAGGTCTTTATTATGAAGTAATTCCACATTAACTATTTACCACTATTAAGCTCCAAGCATTAGTTATTTTGTATTACAACAGCAAGTAATTATAAATGTAACTTCAACTAAAAATGCTTAATAAATTTTATCTGAAATAATTACCTGCTCTCTATTAAACTTCAATATTTAGCTTAACAACAAAGTTTCAGTGCGACAGATTCCAAAAAATGCTTCATTGGCAGTAGACTTAGCATAGAAATTTAGCTTTGGAGTAGAAATTGTATCTGATTTTATACTAGTTTTATTTATCAAAACACTTGTATTTACTATTATAACTAAATTGTAGGTTTAAGGCAGATAAGAATTTAGAACATTAGGTAGCGGAAGATTTCAAGCCTGCATCTACTCTTTTTAAAACTCTCACATAACAGGATATCATGGAAATATAAATCATCTATAATATTTAAATAACAAAAGTATTTTTAATAGTTTTTCAGATCTTGATGGTATATATTTAAAGTGTGTTTATTCCTCTTAGTAAAGATTTCATGTGATGTTTACGCAGGCCTTGGCAAAAGTTACAATTAAGAAGTTAGTTTGCAAAAAAATCACTAAATTTACACCTCTATTATAGCAGTCCATTATCCTACTTCAAAAGATAAGGTCATCTGAGTAATTCAGTTTTCAACTTGTCCTGTACTAAAATGTAGGGTATTTATTTAAGACTAAACTTTAAATGTAAATGCTGAAAGCATGTATTCTGTAATAAGCATAAGTTATGACTTTTCATTTTATTATTTTATAATATTAAATGGAGAAAATTAAATGCAGTTTTAAAATAAAAAATATCTGACAATATATAAGAAATATCCGACAATCCAAGATAAAACTATGTTAATTTTATCTTTGCTCGAAATGCTTCTGATGCATATCAGGAAGTGATTCGATATGATGCTTATTACATGGTGCGAATTATTCCGAGTCCCGTTAAGAATTAATTTAATTCAGTTTCATTACAATTCCATTGTCAGTTTCACATTTCAGAACATGCTGTACACAGTGGTCTTTCAAAACATTATAACCATTTCTACATGAATCAAGCGATCGTCGGAAGGACGTAGAGGGCACTTGTCAAGATATAAATGCTGACTGTCGAAGATCCTCACTCATCATTCTGTCGGCTACGTGTGGGTGTAATGAGAAGTGATTTTAATTAAGGCCAAATTCCAAACTGTGTATCTAGGAAGAAGTATCTCCGAAACGGCGCTGCTTCTCGAGTGTTCGCGAACTGCCCATTTTAGTACTCATGGGAAAAATAAAAAGAAGAAGGATTCTGACATCGATATTAGGCGCCGACCAATTGTACGTCCGCGAATGATCAACGATTGCAGACCTCAATGAAGGCAAACAAATGGCTGTGGCTCAACTGACAACTGAAAAAAAAAAAGGGAAGTCCATATATAAGTGTATATGAGCACAGTTTATCAGACGATGTTGGGTATAGAAGCACACATATCCTTCATATGATTCTGATAACCCAGCATTAACGACATTTACAACTACAGGCACCTGAATATTACGACTGGACCATGTAAAAATGAAGAAGAGTTGTCTTGCCGGACAAATCCCTATTTCTTTTATATCATGCAGATGGCGGTGTCAGGGTATGCTGTATTCTACGCGCACAGTTGTTCGATATGTATACTGCGGAACGTAAGCAGAAGCGGAGAAGATATTACGCTTTCGGGAACATTCGCACTGCATCTCTGAGAGCGCAATTTGTTGCAGAATAGATTTGCAGCTGTAAATCATATCAACATCAAATACTGATTAGTTACACCCTTTCATGGCGTCTGTCGTCTTCGCAAAAAACAAACTATTTCAGCGCAGCAACACTTTTTATGAAAAGTTGAAAGTTTGCAACAGAGATTCAAGAAGAATACTGGTGAATTGCAATTATTTTAACTTACCAGTCTTTTGCACACATGAGATATCTTGAAACGTCAACTCGGAGTTTGCAAATCATTTCAACGTAATATGCGGGAGCTGCATGACCTCTGTCAGCAAATCTGGTAACATTTTTTCTGGACAATAACCAAATTCTATCTCCTTAATTTTGATCTTTATTTTTTGTCCTTTCTGTCTTTTACATGGGGACTGAGTAAATTTCCCAGAGGAAGATATTAACAAATTACTCAACATTTCCAACAATATCATTATGGCTGGTGACCTAAATTGTTATCACTAGTGTTACCGTTGTAATAAATCCTGATGGTTGCGACCTCCTAAAATGAGCTCAGAGCCTACATTTAAGTTACTGCGCTCGCGAAACTTGGAGAAGAAGAAGTCTTTTCTGATCTGGCTTTTTTTCGAAATATTCCGTTTAACTATCACGTGACTGTGGAAAGTTGCTTAGCCTCAGATGACAACCCTGTACTTAACAGATCTTAACTGTGATTATTTTAATTAAATTCTCTGGCTCAGTTCTCAACATATTGGAATCATTTTCGATTTATTCATTTAATTTTTAAGTAGCCCCTTCCCTTAAAAGGGTTACAGCCGAAAATATCGTGGTAAAAACATCGCAGACGAAAACTTCGCAGACGAAACAACGCAAGGCGAAAACAGCGTGGTACAAAATATCGTGGGAGAAAAGAAAGCGGAAAATAAAGCGCAGTTTAAAAACATTGTCGTCGAAAATATCGTGATAAAAAATAAAGTACCTACACGTCATCGCACACATGCGTTTTTCAGGTTTTGAAAGATTTAAATGCATTTTCGCATAATGATTTGGTAGCGCAAGAAGGAAAGAGGGTGAAAATATTAATGACACTTTAAGAATAAAAGGAAACAAAAGAAAGATAAAATTTTCACTAAAACAATAACAGTTTAACAAACGTAAAAGAAAACAATTTTTTGATAATTAACTACGCAATTTGTAAAGAGGTAACCTGATGCAGTTATTTATCTTCCTTTTTTCTAAACATTTTTTAGACTGTATTTTTCATGGCAAATTGTCAGTAAGTATTTGTAAAAAATTAATAAAACTTGTGATTAACTATGTAAATTTAAAATTAAATGCTGTATGTTGCATTAATTTTCTTTCTATTTTCAGTTTTTAAATGCTTTAATTTCCTTCTTACTTTACGAGCAAAAAGTTATTAGTTCATTAAAAAATATGAAATATAGAAGTAAAAATATCCCTCTTTGCTTCTTGCGCTCCCAAATCATTATGCGAAAATGCACTTACTTTTAAAATCTGAAAAACCTGTGTGTGCGATGATTTGTAGGTACTTTATTTGTTACCACGATATTTTAGACGACGATGTTTTTAAACTACCAAGTTTTAAAACTTCTTTATTTTCGACCACGATGTTTTAGAACTGCGATATTTTCTCTTTACTTTCTTTTCTCCCACAATGTTCTGCAATATGACTTGCGTTGTTTTCTCCGCGACGTTTTCGTCCGCGATGTTTTCGGCTGACACCCTTGAAAGTAAATACAGCAGTGATATTGAACTGGCAGTCGATGATTTAACTGGCACCTAGCAGATACCTAGCAGTGTTAAAACTAGCCTTTTGCCTATATTTTGCTGAACTCTCTCTAAAATTGAACTGAAACGTTCACGATAAAAATAAAGTACTAACAATTTGGCAAAGATTTAGGAATCCTGACTTTAAAATTAAACTTCGCAATTTCCAAAATGAAGAGAAAGGCATCTGACCATATTCATTTCTTAACGATGAATGATAACAATCGTTGACGTTCATTAGACAGACTTTGCGAACA